CCCGACCGCCGACGATGAGGTTTCAGAGGACGCGGCGGACCCGCTCTACGCAGCTGTAATCGCAGCTCTGCACGCTGAGCGGGCGTCCGAGGACGGTGCGCGGCTAGCGCCGCTCGTGGACCCCAGTCTGGAGAGAATCCGAGCCGCCGCCGACCGCGACCCTGAGTACGAGCCCCTGCGAGAGGCAGTCTTGCATGGATTCCCGGAGCACCGGCACGAGGCGCCACCCGCCGTCCGCCCATACTGGGGCGTGCGGAGCATGCTGGCGCTGGACGGCGGTCTGATCGTCCACGGCCCTCGACTGGTGATCCCGCCAGCCTCCGACGCGACGTCCTCAACCGTCTGCACCAGTCACACCAGGGGATCGAGAGGACGAAACGCCGTGCCCGTCTCTGTGTGTACTGGCCGGGCGTCGACCGTGACGTCACCAACGTGGTGTCGTCCTGCCCGCGCTGCCCGCAGTTGGCGGCGAGCCACGCTAACGAGCCGCTGTGGCAGGAGGACGACCAGCCGAGCCGGGTGTTTGAGTCGGTTTCGGCAGACTATTTCCACGTCGCCGGCCGGACGTACCTGGTCTACGCCGATCGACTGTCCGGCTGGCCGTACATCTTCACCTGCCCGAGGACAGCATCGGCCGAGCACCTGACTCGGGAGCTGCGTGCGCTGTTCGCACAGACTGGAGTCCCGACGGTTCTCCGTACGGACGGCGGACCGCAATTCACGTCGGAAACTCTGCGCCGTTTCCTGATCCGATGGGAGGTGCGCCACGTCATCTCGTCGCCGCACTACCCGCGGTCAAACGGCCACGCCGAGGCGGCTGTCAAGGCAGCAAAGAAGCTCGTCATTACGGTCTCCATGGGCGGCCAGCTGGACGAGGAGCTGCTGAGCCGGGGCCTGCTGGAGCTGAGGAACACGCCGCGCGCAGACGGCCGATCACCGGCACAGGTGTTGTTCGGACACCCGATCCGGTCGGGCGTGCCCACGCACCACCACGCGTTCGCGCCCGAGTGCAAGCGCGCCGCCGCCGAGTGCGAACTGAAAGCCGCTGTAACCCGGGAAGCGGTCACACGCCGCCACGACGCGACAGCGCGCCCGCTGTCGCAGCTCAACATCGGCAGCCGGGTCGACATCCAGGACACCGATAGCGGCCGCTGGGACCGCCCCGGTGTCGTGGTGGGGATCGGCCGGCGCCGCACCTACCTGGTGAAGACGGGCAGCGGGCGGCTGTACTGGAGGAACCGGCGGTTCCTGCGGCCGTACCGACCCTGCTGGACACTGCAGCGCCACACGCCGCCAGCCCGCCCCGCACGACAGCAGCCGCGCCTGCCGCAGCCCCAGCAGCACCAGCGGAGACGATCTCTGCCGCCGCGGGAGCAGCACCGAGCGCGCCGCCGTCGCCGCAGGCCGCGCCGCGCCGCAGCGGCCGCGTGCACCAGCCCCCCAGGCGCCTGTCCGTGCGCTGGGGTGGCGCCACGTACTGCCAGTAGTGGCCTTGTGCGCCCAGACCCGGGACGGTCTGTTTTGGGATGGTGCCAGTGAAGACGATGTGATCGTCTTGAGGGGAGATGTTGTGTTGCGATCCAGCCCCCGCACGGCTGCTGGCCGTGCCGGCGCGCGCCTCTGCCACTCACACCGCTGGCCGTCCCAGCTCGGCGCCTGCAAGCGCCTCTGCCGCCGCCAGCTGACGGTGCGCGCCGAGCGGCACGGCTGGCGCGGGTGACGAGGGGCGGCGCACGCCATACTTGTTGTCTTTTGTGTATCACTTGGCCTCGCTCGGATCACGGTCCAATAAATCGCTTTAGTTCTCATTATTCCTCTCTCACTCTCAACCGACGAAAAGAAACAAAACAACCATATAAGGGAAAAACGAGTGTACATTTTGTCATCCTTGCTCGGCATTGATAGCGTCCTCCTGAGCCGAAATTGGCGCCCTCCTGACCCAAAATTGGCGCCCTCCTGACCCGAAATTGGCGCCCTCCTGAGCCAAAATTGGCGCCCTCACCAATTCTAGCCCCCTCCAAAAAAAATTCCTGGCTGCGCCCCTGCTTGCCATCGATGTTTCGTGCATTGTATTGTGGAAATTGACAGCCCTCTATTGCGCTCTCCGGCCCGCCTAGGCGGAGTCGTTGAGAGCCAACGCCGACTAGCGACCAAGGCATTTGTACCGGTGCACACTGGGCCGGTCGCCAGGTCTAGCACGACATGGGTAAAAAATCGAACTTTGTGGATGTGCAATGAAACCTATACCAATTTGTTCAAAAATGATCATACTACATTGCTGTGGTCTTTGTTTTCCAACACAATTGCTATTTCATGGCGAAAACTCAGCTTAAACACGAACTTCGGAATCGTTTGGACCGAACTCGTCCCCCGCACTCTTCGACAACGTATCTTTGATCCACGAAAACAATCACAATTTGAGGAGGAATTCCACATTTATATACATCAAACGATAGCTCCGGGTCTGCAGAACACACATAACCACATGAAAATGGCGAACTCGTACTTGGTTATGATGTATTGGCACCGCAAAGATTTAAAGACGAAAATATAATTTCACATAATTGATGTCACACACAAATAGACTTTTAAAAAAAGTACCGCGGAGTACCGCTTCGAAAATCTCGCTACATGTCAATGATTCATTGCACTACAAGATCCAACAGTCATTTTTTGCGACTTTTTGCGACTTTGGATGTACCAGCCAAACATCAACCCGCGCCGGACCGGTGCTCGGCGTCAAACGCGCCGGGCCGGGAAATGTTGATTGAACACTCCCCTTCTAACTCGGCTCTTGGGCCACATAGCGACACGTAGTAAGTGGCATTCGAAAGAGCGCCCGAAATTCCAGATGGAGTAACTAGTCATTTCTAGGTCAGGTCAAAGGTCACGTCACCAGAGGTCATCAAAGGTAAAATGTTGCATATATCAACATTTCTCGAAAGCCGGCCCTTACCTCGGGGACCAATAGAGCTACATCGTCGCGGAAAAGTGCATTCAATTGCTCTTTTAGCGGTCTTTCTGAAATAAGCCCTCACATTTGGCTTAACCCTCGCCCCTAGTGGTGTTTTTCCAGCCGCGAACGTATAGAAGGGGTCCGTTGGACCCCCCCCCCGCCGTTTCGCCCCTGATCGAGCTAGAGCTTCGCGGAAAGGACGAGCGTGTTGCCCGTGACAAGAGGAAGCTGATGATACCCAATTGTAAGGTCCTAGGTCATCGGTTGACCTTCCAGGTCAGGTCAATGACCCAAAAGTCGGGAAAATCGGGACCTGTTAGAACGTCGTAAAGGGTGGCTGCTATGGGGTTTTTGGGTGCTGATCACGAATATAATGTTATTTACGATTATAGATGATGTCTTCATACATTTAGGCCAGGTCGGGTCAGGTCAGGTCAGGTCAACCAGTAAGGGTTTTGCCGGGTATTTGCAGTAGGTGGCAACCGCCTCTGACAGCTTTGTAACATGTTACGAAGGCACCAAAGCTACATAGTAAATGTTCAAATGGTTGCTAGATTCGAATTCAGCTCCAAAAACTAGCCTAGAAACATGTAAAACTCGAAAAAGTGAACCAAGGCCATTAAAGGTCAATGACCTTACCTGACCTTCTGGTGACCTTGACACCCACCCTAATGCATGGGAGCAACATAATATCCCATGTTTGAACGCTTTAAACCAAGAAAAGACTGCAAACCCGCGGCTAATGCGAGCCGACATACGCTGAATCGCGATTCCGGTCAAACATGGTCTAGAAAGAAGGTCACAGGTCAAAGATCATTAAGGTCAGGGTCATGAAATTTTAAGGTTAACTGTAAAAGTAGTTATCGCGAGGGCCCTGAAAGTTTCGTTGCGATCGGCCGCTTTTTACGCGAATTACTCGCGAAAAACCAAGGGTTCCGTTCGAAGATTCAGGCCCCGTCGCGCTAGAATGGCATATCGGCCCACTGTGCGGTGGTCACCGGGTGCCCCTCCCCAACGCCCTTCCCTTTACCTCCTACACATTATATTAAACAACTGTAGGGGTTTTCCCCTGAGCTCTTTGGCTTCAGCGCGGGGTTTTTGCCCTTTGCGATAGGCGTCAGGGTTTTTGTTATTTAGGATTTGTCCTTGACCAACACACCCCACATCAGTACACTGACACCCTTTCACAAGTGTATGAATCTGTAAATAAATGTAACAAGTGTCTGCGTCTGTGTTTTGTTCCGGCTTTTTCGGCACTTTGGCTAAAATTAAGTACTCCAATAAGATTTGCTCACACATACTAAGGTTAGGCTCCCACGTTGCTATTGCTTCCGGGTTCACATAAACCGGCTTAATGTAAAACTTGGTTCCTGGCCAAAATTGCCAGATGTAATGACCCCCGGCTCCAGACTGGCTTTAGAGTTTAGGCTGGCGGAGCAAAAAAGAAAAAAGAAAGAGCGGCCATATCGGGGGCACACCCACGAGGGATTTACGAAAGGCCTGGCGTTTTGAAGTAAATTCTTCAACGTTTTGGATCAGTTAGGGGACAGAGCGCAGACGCTTCCGTTTATCGTTATCGTCCACAATGACCTCGTCGATCGTGAAAACGTCACCCTGTACTGGACTGGTCATCCTTGGATCCAGACAAACTCGGCTCGCCCCTGGTGTATCCAGCTCACTCACCGGAAAAAAAAACAGAATCACTGCTGCGGGTGAACCGACCAGTCGCGCTAGTTCACAAATTAGCTTCTCTGATTCATTCACTCTGAATTCCAAATAAACTGAATTTTGGTAAGGGGCTCTTATTTCAGTCACATCACCACTGCACAGAACTTGCGAGACGCTAGAGGCCAATCATGGCTGCGCGAAGATGGGAAAATACTAAATGCATGGTCTACACAAGGTGCGACTTAAAGTGCGACTTGAAATAAATAGAAAGAGGTAAATTGCAAATTGTATTGTGAAAAATAAAACATAATTAGCTGACAGGGAGTAAAAGATCTTTCCCAAGCCAAGCTTCCTTTGACAATACACACACAGAGGAAATGCAGAGTGCGACAAGACACAAATGATATCTTTATTTAAAGAAAAAGCCATAGCATACAATACATATAGCATAAGCAACAAGCATAAACAGCCTCTGGAAAATAATTTAAGGACATCATGGCCATTCCTCATTCCTCTGCCAAACCAATTCCATTCCGCGTGAATTTTTCCCATTTCTTTGTACGAGTATTTTTCATAGTTTTCTTTACAGCAGTCAAGGTAGATAGTTTTCAGAATTAAGCAGTAAACAAAGAAGAATTTCATTGTTTTTTGGAAGCCCATTCCGACCACATCGATCTCTAAAAGACGATCTCTAAAACTGCTCACAGCGATTGAGCGAGCCCAGCACTCTGACGCTGACTTCATTCGGTGGGCAAAACTTTATACGGGTTCAGGATACCTTGCGGGTCCATGGCGTGCTTTAGCGTCTTCATGAGACGTAGGGCGACCGGCGTCTTGTTCAGATGGAGAAGGTTGCGCTTTTTGAAGCCGATGCCATGTTCAGCGCTAATGCTGCCACCGTTCTTGGCAGTCCACTCGAACAGGTGAGGCTCAATGGCTGCTTCCAGCTCCGCGTCGAAACGTGGCGCAGTCACATTCAGATGGATGTTCCCGTCGCCTACCGAATACAGAGAAATGTCAATCAAGCCACCCGTTCATCCTGGGCTGCAACTGCAACCGAGCTGCTTGTTCTGTTGGCTTGTCGCCATATGGAAATATATAATATGTATAGAACGAGGCCGGTGCAAATAAATTTTCAAGGCCGACTCAGCCTGGAAACTCAAACTCGGCTTTCGGCCTCGTTCAAAGATCATTAACTCACGCCCCGCTGGGGGTCCTGGATTTCGACGCCCTGCTGGGGGGGGGGGGGGGTTGAACAACCCCCTTCTAACTCGACTCCTGAGCCACGTAGCGATACGCGGAAGGCGGCGTTCGAAAGAGCGCAAAAAATGACGAAAACACTTCAGTACACTTTGGTCACTTTTTTGGTCAGGTCTAAGGTCAGGTCACCAGAGGCCAGTGAAGGCAAAATTTCGACGATTTTCAGGTCGAATGTCAACAATTTCCAAGAAGCCAACGCATAACTCGGGAACACATAGAACTAGAGTGTCGCGCAAAATCGCATTCGATAGCCCTATTAACGCCCTTTTCTGAGTATTGTTTCAGATTTGACCTAGCGTGAAGCGTCAACGGTTTTGCCTGCAGGGCAGGGGCGGTGTCACGGATTTTTGATAGGGGGGACGGATTGACTGACCGAAACCCCTAAAAGACTGTCTTCCCGATTTCTGCCCTGTGTACTACAAATTGTTACCACCACTACGACACCGCAATTAAGCACACTGCAGTGCTAGCACAATGGAATTTAACCAAATAACGCACCTTATATCATATACGCAGACTTCAATTTTTTTAAGGCGTTAGTTTTTTAGAAACAGCTTTTGACGAACCGAGCCGCACATGTTTTGGTTGATATCCCCCACAGAGCAAATATTCACGCCGTACACTTACCTCTGTTGCAGAAAAATTCCAGCAAAAGAACCAGTCGGGGGCAGGTGCAGTGGTCTGGACCCAGCTCGACGATACCGTCATGGATTGCGTGGGTATGTTACTTTCAGCCTTCAGATGTAACGGTACATAGTAGTATTAAATATTTTTTATGCATTGTCTTTGGAGGGCTTAAACAAAAGATCAGACATGTCCGAGCTAAGCTCTTTTTCTCCTGTGTTAGTGTGTTAGAAGCTATCGTGACAAAAAAAGAAAACCTTTGGGACGGCACCCCTTCCCAGACCCAAGGGATTAACATCGTAAGCATGAGGCAAAAGGGCGCCAAGATCCGCTGTCTCTTACATCCCTTTGTTTTGTTTTTTTTTCACTCCGGCAGGCAGAGACAACTACCTGACGTCGTTTAAGGTTCCTGGCGGGATTACCTGGGGCCAGATGATGACGAATCAGCAAGAAGCCGGCCCAGAAACCGCACTGACAACCGCGGGAGAAACGTCATCAGCACCCAGTATCTACTTCACTACAGAAGACGGTCGGTTGATAGGGCTGGGCACGCCGCTCGCCCAGTCTCCGGCGACCAATGCGACCACGATAACCACCACGGTCTTCTCGACCGTCCCCTCGACCAGGGCAGGCTCGTCAAACGCAACAACCCCTTCGACTGGTCCGCCCCAGGAAAGCGCCATGGCTCTCTCGTCCGGCAAGGCCTCGTCAGCTGACGCAGCCCCTTCGACTGGTCCGTCCCACTCCCAGGGGAGCGCCACGGCTCTCTCGACCGGCGAGGCCTCGTCAGCTGACGCAGCCCTCCCGACTGGAGCGTCCCAGGAGAGCGTCACGGCTCGGGCTCTCTCGACCGGCGAGGCCTCGTCAGCTGACGCAGCCCTCTCGACTAGAGCGTCCCAGGAGAGCGCCACGGCTCTCTCGACCGGCGAGGCCTCGTCAGCTGACGCAGCCCTCTCGACTGGTGCGCCCCAGGCATCGGAGAGAAACCGCGATGATATTGAAGCGCGCCTCCAGCTCATCCGCTCAACGCCACTCTTCAGACGGACGCCGGAGGAGGTGACCCTTCTCCGCACCTACCTCAGCTTACAGATCCTGGAGGACCTGCTGCAGGGAGGAACTCCCAGACCAACCCTGACATATGTGCTATGAGCAGGGCTGCGGAACCGCAGCTAGAGCTGGATCCGGAGCCGCCGGAGCCGGCATCTTTTGCCCGGAGATGGAGGCGGAGCCGGAGCTGTCGAAGTTGGTGGCGACTCCGGCTAAATTTGTTTGTTTTGTTTTTAGGGAAAAAGTTAACTTAATTAGTTCGGTTTGACAGTACGGACAGTAAAACATGTACGTACGTCATGGGCCATCACGTGAATGAAATACGCCTCAAATATATTATTCCTTTCTTGTGAAGGAAATAAACCGTTTTAAGAAGTAATTAGTTTCAAGCTTCCTCTTCATGGTTCTGGCTTGGACTGAATCGTATGTCACATGAATTGTAAATGAACACCTAACCATTACACATGGTAGGTACAGAAGTTTCACTCAAAGGTCAAACATAAACACACTGTCAATCGCAAATACCTTACAAAAAGGCTAGCAACCATCAAACATGTTTTTATTTGCTGCTCTCCCTCTCCCTTTCGCTCCCTCTCCCGCTCGCTCCCTACACCCCTCGCTCCCTCTTCTCTCCCTATCCCCAAGCGTATACAAATACACAAACACTCAAGCACACGTACAGTCTGTCTTAAAAGTACCGCGCAAAGTGACGGCGGATCCATCAAGCCTGACCAAGGAAGGGCCTGCTAAAGTTGAGTCACCGAAGCAATTGACATCCTCATCCATTCCCAAGTCAATTGGTTCGGTGACTTTCAAATTATAGCAGGCCCCAGGTCTAGGTTAGGCTTGATGGATCCACCGTCACTTTGCGCGGTACTTTTAAGACAGACTGTACATAGCCATAGGCCACTGGCCATGAGTAGACGACTCTGCTGTCGCCTAGCTGCGGTTGGCCCGAGTATCGACCAGCTAATGGCGTACGAACAGCCGCACGAGGTCATTGCGGCGCACAAGACCCGCCCGCCTCTCGGCGCCTGCCGACGGCAGCTCTGCCGCCCCGTCAGCTGGCTCCTGCACCATTCCTTCATCTTGCCTCAGTGGTCCGAGCCATTCGCCGAAGTCACCGCCCTTGATACACATATTGTGTAGGATAAAGCACGTGTGGATAACCGCCACGCAGCGGGCCACACTTTTCAGGCGCAGCCCGAACTCGAGCGCCCCGAACCGCATTTTCAAAACGCCGAAGGCGTTCTCCACCACCACACGAGTGCGCGCATGAGCGGTATTAAATGCGCGCTCCTCGGCGGTGGTGGGGTCTGCAATGGGCGTCATGAGCCAGGGTGACAGGCCGTAGCCACTGTCCCCCAGCATCATGCCGCCCATTACAGGATTTCCATTCCTGAAATAGTCGGGCAGCCCTGATGTGGCTAAAACTCGGGCGTCGTGCACCCGACCGCCACAATGCACGCTCAATGCAACGATTGAGCGGTCGGGTGCAGCGACAGCCATCACATTGAGGGACGGGAAGCCTTTCCTATTGATATACGCCTCCCGCTGCTCTCTGGGGACGGTGAGGCGTACATGGGTGCCGTCGAAGTCGATGCCGACGATGTCGGGCAGCCCGGCGACCTGTCGAAAGTCCTCCTTGAGACGTCCGAGAGCCGCCGGGTCGCTCGGCCAGGTGATGGCCCCTGGGCAGCGGTGGATTATCGCATCCGTCACGCGGTGAATGGCGAGGCACACGGTGGCCTCGGAGACGCCGTGGCCGTCTCCCACCAGGCGCAGATACGCACCGGTAGCATAGAACCGCAGCGACACGAGCAGCTGCTGGCGAGGTGTCAGTGCCATATTTAAGCCCGTGTCGTGCGCCACCGTCCCGCTAATGAGGTCTTCCAGTGCAGTGGCGACCTCGACGCTGAGGCGGAAGTTTTCCCTAAAGAGAAACGGGATTTAAGGTTATATAAAGCTTTCGAATGAATACAATGACACTCTTGATATGCGGCATACAGGCACCCATGCACATTAAGTAGTCACCTGAATGTCGTTGGATGCAGTGCTCCCATGTTGATGCGCGGACGGAGCCTCCGCTGGCGGCGCTCCCGAGGCTCAAAATTGTCATCATCGGCCATAGTCAATCCGGCAATGCATAGGCGTTATCTGGAAGCAACATGCATAAGATGGTTTTGATCCGTGGTCGGCACCATTTAAAAGCATGGCTTGCGGACACAAGTGGGTACACCTACACATCGCAATGTTTTTTTTTACGGCACATGTACATCAGCAACTATGACTATGACAAAACTGCGTATCACACATGTAAGTACGTAATTGCACAATGTACATAATCCTTAACCCGCGCATGACTGGGATATTTTCCATAACGCGAGTGGCTGGAGACGGGGGGGGGCGACTCTACAGAGCCCCCCTCCTTATCTCCGAAACTAGGTACTGGGCCGATCGTCAAAATTCAAACGGCCTCTGATAGCCCTGGTAAAACTGACGAGCGAAACCTAATTTCATTGACCTCGAGGACTCAGAGGGGCCCTAGTGGTCAGATACAGACACTAGCAGTTATTCACAGGAGGCACCAGCCGCCAGGTGAAGGATCTTATCTGTCAGGCTGGTTTTTGGAGTGGTTTGGAGTGTTTTTTTTTTTAATTTTCAACATATGTTTTGGGTCTCCCCCCTCTCTACAGGGGAGCGTACGAGACCGTCTTTATCTATCTGCCAACGCTTTTGTCCGCGAATATAGAGGTCAACAATGCTGTGGCTCCCGAGTGCCCTTCTAGCGCGACACCTATATGAAATGTAGAGAGACATCTAACGGCTGTTCCCACTTCCCACTCCGCAGTGGAATGGCCATCGCCCCGTCATAGGCGGATTCATGCGGGCCGTGGCCGAACATGACGGGACTAGCGACTAGCCCCTTCCATTAGAAATTAATTAGTTGCAGAAGGTGATATGTTTATAACAAAACGAGTGACTGAGGACGTTTTAGAGTGAAGCTGTTTATCAAATTACATAGAGTAGCAAATGTAAGCAAATTACAAAGAGTTTTGGCTTTTTTGGGCCCTGCCTGACGGCTGACTGACAACGCCACTGCATGAATATCGATAACAAAGTTGTTGCTCGTCAACAAATAAAATTGAAATACATGTTACAAAAAATATAAACAACTCAAAAACATGTGGCTTCTACCGGCAACATGAACATTGAAAAAAGCGCAAAATTTTAAATGCCTATTTATACTAGTTATTTGCTACATCGATAGCTTGGAAGAGTTCATTTCTCTACGACGGGGGGAAATAACGCGGTCTGGCGCAGTTAGCGCGCGAATTGTTGGGGTCCATTTCCACGTGGCGCGAGTCGAGGCCATTGAAGTTGAGAATCGGTATATTTGGTGGATTCAAGGGCATGTGTTACTAAATAAAATTTCCCCATGGCTGGGAAATTCACATCTGTGTATAAGGGTCACAAAAGCCATTTTTCGTGATTGACTGTGAGAAGGTAAGGTAAGGGAAGGGGAGATAATGGCAGCTCAAGCTGGAATGATACCTATGCATAGTGCACAAGTGATTCCAGGCAAAATTTAACATGGGCAAAGCTTCGTAAATCATATTACTGTTTTTAACCAGAAGAAATAAAACAAGTCTCAGATGAAATCCCTCTGTTGCACCCTAGGCTAAGAATTAAATAAAAACCTGTATTTCACGACACAAACCACGTCAACCTAGAAAAATGTTCATAAAATACGTTCTTTTAAGTGACTGCATTGGGTGGTGCTGAATTCCAGTTTAGTTGGTGCGAGCTAGAGCACATCAGTAACAAGTGCCGATTTAAAAGTTCTGTAAAATTATTGATAGTGCTCCACAAGGCCACTTTCTTAAAAAGCCCTGTTGATGAAAATATAATTTTACTAGCCAGTCATTCACATGGGTCCGAGAAATTGACCTGGGATCTGAATTATGTTCTTAAACTCTAATACCACTGATCTTGATCTCACCTACAATAGGATCACAATCATGTACCTATCCGTAGGTGGAACTATGGTCATGAGTACCCAAATATAGGAACGTTCCCATTTTTGGGAACGCAGTTCCCAAATATGGGAACGGGCGTTCCCATTTATGGGAACGGAAGGTAATTTTTCGGCCGTTCGCCCACTAAAACTCATTAGTGCATCACGTCTCAAAAAAGTGCACGCTAATTTAAGTATGTACTAAATCTCTATAAAATTATCTTTAATCTGACCGTTGAACAAGGAAATTGACCGTCGAATGATATTTTTAATGATTTTTTGAAATGACGGAATGGTGAAAACATGGGTTATACTACATTTAACATGCAATTTTAAGGAAAATGAAGCGTTTTTTACATTTTGAGGTCAAGTATAATAATTTTCGCCTGGTTATGAAGTTTCATACTAGCGACACTAGATGCTGAAATATGCAAGCGAACACGCGGACAGTCCCGAGATAATACGAGGGGCGTTCAAAAAGTTCTCGGCCCGACCATGAAGGAGCAGAGATACGACGTCGACTTATTAGACCAAAAATGTTCATTTAGTCAAATAACCAGCGTTAAGACAAAAATATTTCGTGCAGCGCTTCGCGAGAGGCCCCTGGGTCTCCATAGCCAAGTGGGTTTTGGACGCATCTGGCACGTCCAAGACGGCTGCTTTTGTCTCCTTGCTGTCAGCGAGGTTGCCACTGCTAAGCGATTTCCTTATGTTGGGGAAGAGGTGGCAGCCTGAGGGTGCAAGGGACGAAGAAAAAAGTGGCTGTGACAACAACTCGAAGCCACAGCTCACTGCTTCGCTGATCGTCACCCTGCTCATGTGTGCTGGTGCGTGGTCCTGGATCAGGCGCACACTTTTAGTCAGCTTCCCTAGTCTCTCCTTGATATCTGCTGCTCGCTACTGTTATCGAAGGAAGGTGTAGCATTCATCATTAATTGTGCGCCCCTGTTTTAGAAAGTTGACGAGCAGAGCCCCGCCATCATCCAAAAATGCAACCACTGTCACCTTGCCGTCTGACTTTAACACGTCGCACACATTTGGTGGCCTTTACTCAATGTGCTTCCACTTGTACAATTCGGGTGGGACTAAATGCTTACTTCGAAATCTAAGCTGCGTTGCGGCATTGGCGGTTATGTGCGGCGTGTATGCCGCATGATTAGTAAGCGGCGACCACTAAATTAAAGACTCAAACGCTCCGACCGGTTCTCAATGAATAACACTGCATACCAAAAATGCCAACCGCTCTCGTCATAAGATATTTAGCTTTAAATAACAAGGTTATCTACATCATCATTTTGAACCAAATTAATACTTTCAACTTAACTCACTCATTCCTTCCTTTGTTGTCTCCAAACAGTCTTTCGATTGTCTGGAAATCGTATGCTAAATCCCGTACCTGTATGCGACTGTGCATATAAAGGCCGATAAAAGAATTTGAATAGGCTCTGGCATGCGATTTCCTGGCTACCCAAAAAAGTCTGTTTCAGTCTTGCTATCAAAACATGACCTCGCCCGCACAGGGGGGGGGGGGGGGTTGATGCAACCCCCCTAAGGTTTTTCGCAAATAACTCGCTTAAAAAGCGGCTGATCGCGACGAAACTTTCAGTACCCTCGCATTGATCAATTTAACACCCATCCTGAAAATTTCATGACCCTGACCCAAATGACCTTTGACCTGTGACCTACTTTTCGAGACCATGTTTGGCCGGAACCGCGATTCAGCGTATGTCGGCTCGCATTAGCAGGGGCGCGGGAACTACTTTCCGACTGGGGGGGCACACCATAATAGAGATCAACCTAGGGTACCCCCAAATCTAGTTTTCTCACCGGTTTTAGGCCACTTATTTTTCACCCCTCGGCTTTTTCAACAAAAAAAGAAAACATTTGCAAAAAAGTGTGGTATTCCATCTCAAAGCTGTGGGGGCACCGCCCCCACGGCCCCAGAGTTGGGGGGGGGGGCAGGCTGCCCCCACTGCCCCCCCCCGGCTCCCGCGCCTATGCGCATTAGCAGCGCGTTTGCAGTCTTTTCGTGGTTTCAAGCGTTCAAACATGTGATATGATGTTGCCCCCATGCATTAGGGTGGGTGTCAAGGTCACCTGAAGGTCAGGTCAGGTCATTGACCTTTGGTGACCTCGGTTCACTTTTTCGAGTTTGACATGTTTCTAGGTCAGTTTTTTCGAGCTGAATTCGAATTAAGCAACCACATGAACGTTTACAAAGTAGTTTTGGTGCCTTCGTAACATGTTACGAGGCTGTCAGAGGCGGTTGACACCTACTACAAATACCTGGCAGGACCTCTACTGGTTGACCTGACCTGACCTAACCCGACCTGGCCTAAATGAATGAAGACATCATCTGTGATCAAAACTAGCATGATATTCGTGATCAGCACCCCGAAAAAACCCATAGCAGCCACACTACGACGTTCTAACAGGTCCCAATTTTCCCGCCTTTTGGGTCATTGACCTGACCTGGAAGGTCAACCGATGACCTAGGACCTTAAAATTGGGTGTCATCGGCTTTCTCTCGTCACGGGCAACACGCTCGTTTTTTCCGCGAAGCTCTAGCTTGATCAGGAGCGAAACGGCAAGGGGTTATACCTTATACGTTCGCGGCTGAGTATTAATTTGGTTCAAAACAATGATGTAGATAAGTTAGTTATTTAAATCTAAATATCCTATGACGAGAGCGATGGACATTTTTGGTATGCAGTGTTATCCATTGAAAACAGGTCAAAGCTATTGAGTTTTTAATTTAGTGGTCGCCGCTTACTAATCATGCGGCATACACGCCGCACATAACCGCCAATGCCGCAACGCAGCTTGGATTTCGAAGTAAGCATTTAGTCTCACCCGTACAATTCGGTCACGCCCTGAGGGTCAATGTGTGACACCCACAATCCCTCCACGGTAACAAGTAGTTCAATGAACTCTTTTGGATCTTCGAAATAGGGGCCACAAATTTTGCGTTACGCCTCCTTTCGAGTTTGCCTTTCCTCTGGAGTCAGCAAACGGGAGATGCATCTTGCAGAAATCTTAAACATATTAATAGGCCGTCGAAGAATGGCTTTGAGAAACCTGATAGACAACTCCGCTTCTGCTGCGTTGTTTCAGACCAGAACATTTGTCATTTTTCACAAAGAAGTGCTTATTTTTCATATTTTCTTGAGTCAATGCTGTTGATGGCTGGCCACTGCGGGGGTGACCATTAATGATCTGTTGACCAAAATTGAACAGAGATGCCCACTTTTTGGCGCTACTGTAAGAAAGACAAACCTCAACATGTGTTGGCACTAGCTTTTCGTGAATAACGTTTGATGCATTTTTCTGCAATACATGAACCAAATCACTGTTCTATTCTGGGCGTCACCCATTCTGACCGGAAATAGCAAACTATGTTACGATTAATTAGCAGCCTGAACCAATCACAGGGCAGATTGGTTAATGGCTACGTAAGTGGACATCCCAATAACACATCAATGAACACACCGCGTTGCAGGCCGAAATTCCAACTCCTTCATGGTTGGGCCGAGAACTTTTTGAACGCCCCTCGTATTGTTGACATTTGGTGTCGAGGCGGACGACTGCGTGGGACGTCAGTGATTTTACCGAACTACTGTTGTAAACTCAGTTTAAGTGGTTAAAAATTATTCAGCTGTATTTTATCAGCCCGGAAAGACATATTTTATTTGGATGCTAGCTGTTTAGCGTTGTTTTATGAGGAGCGTCATGAGCGTGGTTTTTGTTTTCCGTGTTTCTAAGCATGATCGTTTTGGGGAAATTTCTCTTATATAGGTCGCTCTGTGTGGCTTATTTATAATTTTTATGCTGATTTCGATCATTCCTCGTGCCCATCCTACCAGGCCTTTTGCCACTTACACTCATTAAGAAAGGAAAAAACTAGATCGTCATTGGGACTAGGTGTTTTGAGGGTGTAACATATTCAGCGTTCCCATTTTTGGATACTTCCTTGTGCTCGTCAACTATCGGTGATAAACAGACAGGTGCTTGACATGTCTCCACCCTCGGCGCGGACGGTGGATATAGGTATGGAAGACCTTGTTGAGCATCGCTGAGCGTTGTGAATTACATAATCCTGCAGAGGGGGGCGTGCCCGCTGCGAGATCGACGGGAATAAAAGCGCAGAAGACCGGGCGAAACATGCAACGGTCTTGCCGGAAAGGTCATCTGATAATTGTTGCGTTAACAATAATTTGCGGCGTTGGACGTGATGCTTGTTAATGAAAAGAGCCCCTGAAAGGCGTCGGTGAAATCGTTCCCAATTTTGGGTACGCCGTTCCCATAATAAGGAACGCTTGCAGCGCCAGTGTACGAGAGCGTTCCCAAATTTGGGCTCGCGGCCCGGATGATGGACTGCTTTAGAAATAGGGGAACGATTTGAAACTACGATGGGCCTTACAATATCAAACTCTTTCCCAACAATATTGAGACAAATATCAGGCGGTTCACGATCGTTTTATATTTTTTGGACGTCATTTAACGGTTCTTTTTCTTGTTTTAAATAATGCCTACATGGCGTTCCCATATTTGGGTTTATCGTTCCCAAACATGGGAACGAAAATGCGTTCCCGAAAATGGGTACGCTTGACCATAGTTCCGCCTACTGAGTTACCTACCTATATAATTTGTTGATGGTTTCATTGGTATCATACATCATTACCTCTGTCGGTACTCTCTTTTTGTGGCCATATAATCATAATAGGATCATTTGTGGCAATTTACCTTAGGTGTTTCAGGGATATTGTGTGATTACACATAGCAATTTACATAGGCGGCGGAACGGGGAGGCGGTGTTTCATTTTTCAGTCTTTTTGGTGGCAAATCACACCTAATGGGGAAAATATTTTCATCCCTAAAATATGAGTGACCGACTTTACTTCATCTCTGAAAAGAGTTGCATGTATTCCCAACAGCCAGTTCACATGTCACTTGACAGTGATGCACCCACATCCTTTTGTTCCACACCCTGTCAAGATCCTGACATGAAATCCTGGTTTATCAGTTAGCATAAAAATTGGCATTACACCATTTTGCAAAAATACTGCAGTTACTTACTTTCTTTTTTCTCATCCTAGGATTTTTTTCTTCATCGGCACACCCAACCAATACCCAATTTTAGAACACTGCGGGGAGGGCACCTGGGCACCGTGCCCCCCCTTTGATTTTGGCATTTTAACATTAGCCCTATGGGCATTGCATGGAAAGAATGAGACCAAAAGTCAGCAGTGCCCCCCCCCCCCTAACTGAAGGTGTTCCGCCACTACTTTCAATTTATAGTTTTGTGATACTTAAGGACATCAAATCACACTGGAAAACCGCTTCACATTTTGCAAATGGTGTTAGATCTTAAATCCTTGTGCGAACAGCTGTTATTGGCTTATGCTTTGGTTTGTTGTCAGATCTTATTAGATCATAGACGCAAGAAATAATTTTTGAGTGGGATCCAAATTCTGGTATGATCTTATCTTTTTGTTTTTAGATCCACTGATGTAATTGATCTATCACATGCCTCCATGCACATATGATACTAAACTAACCTACCTAACAGCTACCAAATATCTTTGACGTGCCACTTGAGATGTACTATAATGGAAGATGAAATATCCAGTAATCTCAAATTAAAGTTTTCTTGAGAGCATAGAGCAGAAATTGTAATTTTTCTTTTTCAACATTGACTGTTTGATGTACCTTGGCTTTTGTCATATTTAGATGACTCTCTTTATTTTGAAGAGCACATGAATTTTATTGTTTTGACCATGTCAATTAGTTTGCAAATGATCCCTTAACCCAGCGAGTGTTGTCATTGTGACATTTTGATTTTGATAGAAAGACACCTATTTATTGTCAGCATTTGAAATGAAGAACATACACATTAAGGGAAGATTTTTTTTGACTTCTCATTGCAATTCATTACAGAGAGCAAGCATTTTTAACAAAACATGATACCTAACGTACTCAATTTTCCTAGTGGGCTAATGCCGCAAGTATCACCTTTAAATGCATATTTAAAAGCAATTAAACTCAGTCTCAAGCCTTCTACAGTGCATGACAATTTTCTCAAGAATATTGATATTTATTATGTGTTATTGGCTACGTCATGCATAGATGAAACATTACCAAGCAAGAGAAACATTTTGATATCATTATTTACACAATAGTTCATCTCACTCACCTTTTCAATGTCTTCACTGTTGCGATGACTTCACTTTTACCTAAGCTTTTGCTAGTTATTTTGGAGGCCCGAATTTACCTTCAAAACGTCAAAATTTCCTCCGCGAGTGCTACTTTCCGGCTTTCGGTGCAAGAGGAAAACAGTCGGTCGGACTTTAACAATTGGTAAGTTCTCATGCCGCTCGGTAGAATTTCTAGGTAAATTTTCACGGTAGCGTTTTTTGGTAGGTAGTTTGGTGCAAGAGAATTTAGGTAAAATCTGAATTTACCTAGGTAGGTAGTTTGGTGCAAGAGGCTTCTGGATAGGGTTTTCGTGTTGCCGAATGAGGCGAAACGACTTTGATTCGGTAGTGCCTCATAAATCCCTGCTACGGTGAGCAGCGACGAGTCTGAGACTGCGTCCTTCACTTCCGGCGGGGTCGTCATTTCCGGCCGCCATTGTTCAGAGGCCTCTTGCACCAAAATACCTAGCTAGGTAGAATCGGCAAAATACCTACCTAGTAAAGCTACCTACGGCGGTAACTTCTCTTGCACCATCCTACCTACCTACCTAGGTAAATTTGACAGCTCGCGTTTTTAGGATTTGTTTTGATTGGCTGTTTGGCGACGAATTATTTGTGGGCGCAAATAAATAGTAGCTAAAGAAAACAATTATATGGATATTGTTTTTATTAATATACATTTTGGTATTATGAAATCATTTTTCAATTACGTTAATACCGATAGAAGTTATTTTGATATTAAATTACTTGAACAAATAAGCTTCGTTTCCATGGCAACGAGTGAGTCTTCAACCAGGCTGTTCTGCTACGGATGTTTATCGCTTTGGTACGGAGAAGCACCTCTGTGAAACCATGGAGCATTTGGTCAATTATATTATTATTCACTCATAAAACATTGATTTATCATTGTCTAAACATTTTGTAATGCCTAATTTACATATAAGTACCCTTGGATTATCCTGTGTTGTGCCTATTGTTACTAATTGAATCATTTTACCTAAGGTTTTGCTAGTTATTTTGGAAGCCCGCGTTTACCGTCAAACCGTCGAAAATTCCTCCCCGAGTACTTCTTTCCGGCTTTCGGTGCAAGAGGAAAACAGCCGGTCGGAGTTTAACAAAGTTGGTAAGTTCCGATGCCGAGGCCTCTTGCACCAAAATACCTAGCTAGGTAGAATCGGCAAAATACCTACCTAGTAAAACTACCTACGGCGGTAGGTTCTCTTGCACCATCCTACCTACAGTCGTCCTCAAAATTATTCATACCCTTGTTAATTTACGACATATTTTGCTTTTTTGATGAAAAGAAAACATTTTGTCGAGCTTATTTATGATTTATATATGACCAACAGGGAAATGAATAACAGCAACATACAACTGACAAAATATTCAGTTTCAGGTCTGTTTTATTCATGAATCTTTGAAAACACTCATGTTCAAAAATATTCATACCCTTGGTTTTCAGAGTTCAGTGTCTTTCTTCAGTAGTCGATAGCATATCCTTTGTTCCTTATTACTGCTTCTAGTCGGTTCCTGTAGGTGCTCACAAGCTTGCCACACGTTTCCTGTGGGATTTTGGCCCATTCTTCCCTGGCGAAAGCCTCCAGCTGGGTCAGGCTAGTCGGTTTCCTGGCCGTCACTCGGGTCTTCAAGTTCCGCCATAGATTCTCTATGGGATTCAGATCAGGACTCTGACTAGGCCACTCGAGGACGCTGATATCATTGTCCTCGAACCATTCCTTGACTACTTTAGCCGTGTGTTTGGGATCATTGTCTTGCTGGAACTTCCAGTTGCTGCCGAGTTCCAGCTTCTCTGCAGATTCCTTCAGGTTTTCGTCCAGAATTTGGATATAGTCCTCCTTTCTCATGGTGCCCTGGATCCTGACGAGGTTTCCTGTGCCGCGGGAAGAGAAGCATCCCCACAACATGATGTTTCCGCCACCGTGCTTGACGGTTGGCACCGTGTTCTTGGGATTGTAGGCCTCTCCTTTACTCCTCCAAACATATGCAGCATCCATGTGCCCAAACAGCTCCAACTTCGTCTCATCAGACCACAGGATGTATGCCCAGAAGTTGGAATCTTGCTGCATATTGCCTCTAGCAAAAGCCAGGCGAGCCTTGCTAGAGGCAATATGCAGCAAGATTCCAACTTCTGGGCAAACATCCTGTGGTCTGATGAGACGAAGTTGGAGTTGTTTGGGCACATGGATGCTGCATATGTTTGGAGGAGTAAAGGAGAGGCCTACAATCCCAAGAACACGGTGCCAACCGTCAAGCACGGTGGCGGAAACATCATGTTGTGGGGATGCTTCTCTTCCCGCGGCACAGGAAACCTCGTCAGGATCCAGGGCACTATGAGAAAGGAGGACTATATCCAAATTTTGGACGAAAACCTGAAGGAATCTGCAGAGAAGCTGGAACTCGGCAACAACTGGAAGTTCCAGCAAGACAATGATCCCAAACACACGGCTAAAGTAGTCAAGGAATGGTTCGAGGACAATGATATCAGCGTCCTCGAGTGGCCTAGTCAGAGTCCTGATCTGAATCCCATAGAGAATCTATGGCGGGACTTGAAGACCCGAGTGACGGCCAGGAAACCGACTAGCCTGACCCAGCTGGAGGCTTTCGCCAGGGAAGAATGGGCCAAAATCCCACAGGAAACGTGTGGCAAGCTTGTGAGCACCTACAGGAACCGACTAGAAGCAGTAATAAGGAACAAAGGATATGCTATCGACTACTGAAGAAAGACACTGAACTCTGAAAACCAAGGGTATGAATATTTTTGAACATGAGTGTTTTCAAAGATTCATGAATAAAACAGACCTGAAACTGAATATTTTGTCAGTTGTATGTTGCTGTTATTCATTCCCCTGTTGGTCATATATAAATCATAAATAAGCTCGACAAAATGTTTTCTTTTCATCAAAAAAGCAAAATATGTCGTAAATTAACAAGGGTATGAATAATTTTGAGGACGACTGTACCTACCTACCTAGGTAAATTTGACAGCTTGCGTTTTTAGGATTTGTTTTGGTTGGCTGTTTGGCGACGAATTATTTGTGGGCGCAAACAAATAGTAACTTAAGAAAACATTAAATGTATATTGTTTTTATTAATACACATTTTGGTATTATGAAATCATTTTTTATTTATGTAAATACAGGGGCCCGGGAACGGTTTTCAAGTTGGGGGGGCGAGCCTAAAATATCTGACATGATGCATATGAAACAGTGTCGTAGCTAGGGGTCTAAGGCAGTGGTCGGCAGGTCCTCCGGGGTCGTGCCCCCTTTTTTGGCGCCAGGCAGGGCCATTACCCCCACCTACCAGACCCCATTGCTGATACAACCACGGTTACTGAAATTCCATACTTTTCCGTGACTCTTTGGGTACCATATCTGCGAGAAACCGCAGGCCCCCTCCCCTGCGGTTTCTCGCAACTATCTCAAAAACGTTGGCACGGAGCGCCACCATTTTGGAACAATTGATCATACATCGTTTCTGCAGATGTTGTGAATATTTCAGACCAAAGTCACTCAAGGTCAGGTCACCAGATCAGTGAGGTCACGTCTAAAGACTGTAACGCCTGCTTTAGCTGCATTGAGTGACAGGTCTCTTTCAAACTTTCAGGAATTGATAAAGGCGACAGCATGTACAAAATTTGTATCTCGGAGATTTGATGTCGGTGACCAAAGTTAAGGTCAATTTCACACCCTCTCCCATTATCAATGGGAGAGGGCGCAAAGTAAATGGTAGAAAATTGAAAGGCGCCTCTTTTGGACCAGTGTCATTCCTAACACTGTGACACTCTTATTTACAAGTACCTAAACATGACCGCTGAACCGGAAAATTGCACCCGTAACCCCGCTGTATGTCCCTGAGGTCATTTCAGGTCATGAATGGTATCTAACAGCTTTTCGCTAATAACTTTTGATAAAGGCATGCCAGAGCGATGAAAATGCCTTAGATGTGTTCAGCTCGACGATACGGATCGACTGATGTGCAACAAAACAAAACCTTCGATGTTTCTCGACGGGAGGATCACGATGCTGATAAAAGTGAGCTCCTGCAAGTTTTGAGTGACAAGTTATTTAAGAAAAACTATCAGCAAGCAACGTACATTTTGGCAGTTTTTGTCTCCTGCAGGCTAAACCGTTAATCTTCGGTTGAATCTGAGGGCAGGCATCAGAAAAAACGTTAAAGAGAGCTATCGAATGCGTTTTTCCGCAGCGCTGTAGCTCTATCCTTTCCTGAGCTATAGGCCAGTTTGTCGAAAACTGTCAAAGGTTGACCTGGAAATTGGCGAAATTTTACGTTCGATGACCTCTGGTGACCTGACCTTTGATTTGACCTAAAAAGTGACCATTATTTTTTTTCTTCATCATTTCTTACGCTCTTTCGATCGCCGACTACGGCGTTTCGCTAGTGACCCAGGAGCCAAGTTAGTACGGGGTGTTCAACCTCCACCTCCAGCAGGGCGTGGAAATCCAGGAGCCCCAGCGGGGCGCGGGTTAACCCCCATACGTATAGGGGTAGCGGGTATTTTTCGGGAATAGATCACGTTAAAAGGGTCGGATTACGAAAAAACTGTACCATCGAGCCGATCATTTTTATCTGTCCTGAAAATGGCATGACCACTGAAAATGGCATGTGAAAACGCCAATACCCGAATAACCGTTGATTTGTGGGATCTTTCTTGAGATCATGGCAGGCCACAAAATCTCACTTCAAAAAGTTACAGCAGGACCCGATTTACTCGGCAGTTGTTATTGACCTATGGAAGGTCACCCAATGACCAACGACCTTTAAATTGGGTAGCAGCGGCTGCTTATCTTCACGGGCAACACGCTCAATTTTTCTGCAAAGCTCCAGCTCAGAGACCGAGGTGCCCAGGTCAGGGTGCCATGGACGACTCCTCTCCCTTGCGTTAGTGACTGTGAAAACGCCAATAGACGAGCGCCGGTTGGTACATGACAGTTACTTTCAACGACTGTACGGAATGGTGAGCAGCTACATGAAAATTGACATGCGCCAGCTCATCAGTTCATGCTTTGTGCGTTTGACCTCGACTAATCTTTGAATCCTGGGGCACAACAGTTGCGATGTTTGTCCCATCAAGGGAGC